CGGGAACTCCTCGCTCGCTCCCCCCTCCCAGCGCGCGCGCCGCGCTCCTCCCCCTCCCCCCTCCGAGCCGGGCCGAGCCGGCTGCTGCTCCAGGCCCACGCACCCGCCCGCCTCGAACCTCCCCGCTCACACACACATACATAGCACCCCCCACACGCGTGGGATGCGCGCGCCGCGTCACGCACCGAATCTTTTTTTCCCCCAGTGTTGGAACTGGCGGTTCGGGCGGGAAAGGGGAAGGATTTCAAAAAAAAAAAAAAAAAAAAAAAAAATTCAACTGACAAAATGGCGACGGGACGAACCTGTTGCTATGGAAACTGTCAATCACACCGCCCAGCGCCCCGCCCCTGACTCCGTTCTATGCTAGGAGGGGAGGGCAGACCGCGCTGACGTAGAAGGGAGGGAACGGGGTGAAGGCGGGGCTTGGTCGCCTTGGTAACTACTGGTGCTCCCTCGCAGTTCTCCCCCCTCCTTGGCCCAGGTGTCACGTGGTGCTATAACTTTGGCGGGCGCTGGGCGGGTGCTGCAGGCCGCTGGGAGTTAGGGGTGGGTAGAGGAGACCTCCAGTCACGCGCGGCCCGCGGCGGGGTGGGTGCAGTGGCGCTGAAGTAGGCTGGGCTGCAGTGCGAACACACACTTGTACACTCCCACACCGTCACAAGTACACACATTCTCATGCACACTGTCATGTACTCTCCTATAGTCACACTCACAGTCACGTGCACACACACACTCAGCTGTCCTGGCCCCCGCCCCCCCCCCCACACATACACACCCTCTCATGCTTTCACTGTAATGCAATGCTTACATGCACACTTGCTGTCACACAGGCTCACATGCTCTCACAGTCATGCACATGCGCACTCTCACACCCTCACACATGCTCACACACATGCTGTCTCACGCATGGCAGGAGGAGTGAGGGGCTGTGTTCTCGAGGCTGCTTATCCACAGCATGGTAGCCCCCAAAAGCCTCTTTGTGTAGGCAGGTCCTTGCCATGCTGGGGATGAGGAGCTTGGGCTCACCTCTGGACACACAGGGCCTTGAGCTGAGAAGGGGCTGAACGCCTTGGGGTGGGGTGGGGTGGGGTGGAGCAGGGGCTGTGGTTTGGGGGGGCAGTTTTTCTTAGATTGAAGGGACATTGGAAGATCATCAGGACCTGCACCAAGCAGGAAAGGTAACTGGGGGTCAGGTGAGCCCAGCAAGGTGACTGTCTAGTCTCCTCTTGAAGATTTCCAGGGTAGATGATTGCACCACCTCTGGAGGGAGCTTATTCCACAGTATAGACACCCTGACTGGGAAGAAGTTTTTCCTAATAATCCTAAAATTTCCTCACTGGAAGGAGGAGGCGTCTAAGCTGGGGAGTTTTCACAGAGTTGATGGGCCTGGGAGGATGAAGTAGGATGGAGAAAGCTTGGCTAGATGAAGGAGGTGGCTGAGGCATAGGAAGAGTGAGAGGAGAAGAAGGTGTTAGTCTGGCGAAAATCGGGCGGCAATGGCCCTTCACTGGGGAAAACCAGAGGAAGCAGCAAAGCTAGGGGAAATGGGCATGGATAGGAGTCACGGGTTGAAAAGGTGAACGATACCAGCAGAGAGTGTGGGAAGATCTACGCAGCAGAAGTGGAGGTTTCTGCTACTACTGCGGAACCTTGTGTGTCCAGGAGTTCTGCCGGCAAGACTTGATAGCATAGATTAGGTGCATGTATAAGACAGGCAGGTAAGAGGTAGATGGAAGGTATCTGCAGGGGGAGAGGTAAAAAGAAGGCTGGGGACATTGACTGGGGTGTGCCAGTGTTCCTGCTGGGATGAAAGGTCCCTGGCTAGAGAGTTTTGCCCCTACGCTTAGGGTCAGACCAGTCACCAAATTTGGGGTCAGGAAGGAATTTTACCCTGTGGTAAGATTGTAGGGGTTTTTCTCTCTGCCTGTTGGGGGGAGGGGCCCTCTTCCTAGGATCTCTTGAGCATATTTTGACATCATCATTCACAGAAGCAGGGCATTGGCTGTCATTGTTCCCCTGCTTTATCTGTGGCAGGTTAGGGTGTTAGGTCTGTGCTGTATCAGAGTTGATAGCAGTCTTATGTAGAGTTTAGATTATGGATTGTATAGGATGGTTTGACATGGGATGATTCCGTCTTAGGCAGGGGGTTGGACTAGATGACCCCTGAAGGTCGCTTCCAGCCCAACGTTTCTATGATTTCTATGATTCTTTTCTATGTCACTGGGAGAAAACAGGTGTCAACACTGGGAACTTACTGAATTTGTCTGTTCTGCTTTTTACTGCAGGGTTTCACATTTTCTCATTAGGAAGTGAGGGTACCAAGACAGAGCAAGAATCCTTTTCTTACCCCTACAAGGCTTTTGGTGTGGGATATGCTTTCAAGAGTCCAAGTTTCACACTTGGAGAACCTGATTAAGTTGTGGGGAAGGAAAGGGAAAGGAATGTACGCATGTATACACACTTGTTCATGTCTGTACCTCTACTTTTAGGCACCAGTGGGAATTGGGGGAGGCTCTGTTCCCCCGGGGCACCACATGGGGTTACTAGAAATAATGTCCACAAATTGTTAGACAGCAGGTTCAGGCTGGGCATCAGGAGACATTACTTTACAGTTAGGGCTGCCAGGCTCTGGAATGGGCTCCCAGGTGATGTGGTGCTCTCTCCTATCTTGGGGGTCTTCAAGAGGAGGCTGGACAGATATTTGGCTGGGGTGATATGATCCCTGCACCCATTCCTGCCCGGGGCAGGGGGTCGGATGTGAAAATCTGTTTAGGTCCCTTCCAGCCCTAAGTACTATGATACTATGATCCACCATTAGTGACCTACTATAAGAAAAAAAGGAGAAAAAGCAGAATGCATGAAAGAAAAAATGGAATGAAAGCGAGAGAAATGGAATAAGTTATATTTCTAAAATATATTGAATGGAATGGCAATATATATAAATATATGCAGTATATAATAAAATACACAGCTATTTTATTCCTCTAAATTGCTGTAGATGTTGCAGCACTGCCTTTTTTCTTCACCACACCTGATAAACTTAGGTCTAGTCTGCATGGGGAAATTTGTACCACTTGAACTTAAATCAGGTTTAAAACTGATTAGGTTGCACTGGTACAACCATCTTCATGGACAATTATTTTGTTTGAGTGACATTTGAAATCAATAAGGAACAAAGTCAAAGTACACCAATCTGAACAGGAAGGGGCGGGGGATAAAAACAACTCAAACCAAAACAAGGTTGACACACTTGGGTTTGCACCCAGTTAACCAAACTGGTTTCTGTTCACACCTTAGGTTAAGCCAATACAACTTTCTTATAGACAAGCCTTAGTGCCTATGTGAGCTAGAGTACCAGTTCCCTCAGAAGTCAGATTGGGCACCTGTCTTTGGTTTTTGCAAATCTCACCCTGAGAATCCTTAGGCTAGTAAATATTGGGAGAATATTCCCTGTCCCATAATGATATATTAAGGCGCTTGTACACATGATGGTTGTCAGGGTGTACACATGACGAAAATGTCATTTGTGTGGCTTAATGGTGTCACATATTACACGTGCAACAGTTTTGGGGTTTGCATCATTGTAAACTACATCCAGATGTAGCGTAGTTTGCAACAATGCGTTCCAACTGTCAGCTCCCCTGCACACACCCCCTCCCCAACCTTGCAAAACTATTCACACACACACACACAGAGGCAGGCTCCACAGAAAAAAAGAATTGGGTCCCCAGCCACTTCTGCTTTCAGCAGGTGCCGGAAGGAGTCTGATCCTTTTTTTTTCCCCCAGTGGAGTCTGCCTGTGTCTCCCACAGGTGGGGGGGGCAGCTGCCAGCAGGCCAAGCAGTTCCACCTTAACCAAGTAGCAGACATCTTCAAGGTAAAGCATCTAACCCTCAAAAGCAGAGAACAGAAAGTGGAGGAAGGACAAGGAGAGAAATCCCAGTCTACAGCCTGTTCTCTCCCGCAGAAGGACCTATAACTTCTGTGGACATATATGTGGCTCAAGAATTGGACTCCTAAGTCATCTCAAGACCCATTAATGGGCAGTGGTAGAGATCCTCAAATAAAGGGATTGCTAACGACCAAAGGAGAGAACTGGAGAAGGAAAGAAGCCTGCTTGCTTTAGCAAGTGAGAATGCATATAAACTCTGTGTGCTAAGCCAATGGAGTATGTCACATGTGGACAAGGTTTTGGGAGGAGCCTGCGTGCGTGCGTGCGTGTGTGTGTGTGTGTGTGTGTGTGGAGTTTTGCAAGGTTGGGGTGGGGGGCAGAGGCTGCATGTACCAACAAGTTTTTAGGGAATTTTAATGGGCTTGGCTTTTACCATATTTGAGAGAAAGGTGTTTGTGTGATAGTGAGTGAGAGAGCCACTGAGTGAATTTGGGGGTTTGAGGCAAAACTGTATACTATTTTGGGAGTGGTGGGAAAGGAGTCTGAGCATTTATGAAGAGGTAAGCAGCACAAAAAGTGAGAAGGAGAAAAGAATAAAAAATTATGAATAGGGAGCAAAAAAGAGCATGGAAAGGAGTGGTATTACGCTGGGAGTTGAGTGAAACCTCATAGAAACAGGTGGACATAACAGGAGGGGGGATAGTGGGGAAAGGAAAAAAAGGGTTAACTAAAAAACAAGTTAAGGAATAAAATAGCTGAAACAATAAGAACTACTGCCCAA